TCGCTTGGGTTATCCCAAAGAACGATTTATAGGTCAGGTTTCCACTGTTGAATATCCTGCTATGTTTAGATACAGCGCATGAACTTTGGCATAGCATAATAGATGTTTTACGGCGCTATAGACACAGAAATGACAGTTACAGCGCCAGTGAGAAACGTGTTTTGATATAATATTTGGCTAGTGTTTGTTTCTGGCGTCTTTTATTTTATTATTGTGGATGTTTTACGTCATAGAACATTAAAACATTTTGGGCGGCACTGCACGACCGTGCTCTATGAACGAACCGTGCCTGGACAGTTTAGTTGTGGACCCGTTTTCAGTAAAAGTTCTTCCGAGATAAGTAAACTTTTCCGATACCATGGTCAGTATTATCAATTATCAAGTCGAGGTATTCGCTTAGTATAGTCGCTGTTCCCGCGAACACACTCTTTTTCTTTTTTTCCCCTCAAATTAAAAAAATTCACTGTTGCTCTTCCAGAGTCCTTGAAGAGATAATGGTTTTTTTTCTTCTTAATACCCCCCCGCCCCCCGATCTAGCATCTCCGTCTGTCTGCTGGGATACTGTACCCCTCTTAGCCGGGGTTGGCCCTCAGTGGCAGGGTCGAAGCAGCCCGCATCTTGTGTGGTTTACACTGTGTCAAAAGTGACGAAAAACATCGGCATTAGCAATTTAGAATTTCTTTTTTTTCTCCCTTTGTCATTCCAGGAAAAAAAGAAGAAATACATGGCAGAATTTGCAACTTTCACACACGCACAGATTCGCCACATCGCCATAATCATGACGTATAACGTTCTGAAGAAGGTAAAAGTAGGAGTCGGGCTGTTGGATATCCCGCTATTCACGCTAGAGGGGGACAGTTGTCGCCTGTCACACCTGGTGAAAGAACAACGCCCCCTGGTGCTCAACTTTGGCAGTCTCACCTGAGGCCCATTCCTGTCCGCGGTAGGAACAAAACTGTCTGTCTTTGTGTCTGTCTATCTGTGTGTCAGTCTGTGCATCACATACACACACTCACGCTCACACATTCAAAAGTAATTTGGTAAGGCCATGTAGTCGCAAACAGCAAGATATTCCTAACGAGGGCTCAATGAGCGTATTTTGGATACTGGGTCTCAGGGAAAAGTCTGTCATGAACTTTCCCCCATTGTTTGGGCTTGCAGAGAACAAGCCCTCTCTAACAACAGTTTTCGCAGGTTCTCGTTTGTTTTACCTGTTTTTCAAGAAGAGTTTCATTAAGAAAGGGGCGTTGGAACGGGCTCATCCTTTGCTGAGCCCTTAAGACATTTGCTTGGCTGTTAGGTTGCTCTAGCTGTAAGAGGTGACAACAGTGATTATATAAACGAGCAAGTGTGTGTTCACTGCATGCAACTAGAGGTGGAAGATTCTGAAGAAATCTTATCAATTTTAGCTGTTTATTAATTCTTTTTATTAAGAAACACAAATTTTTGTAGGGAAAGATTTGGGGATGGGAGTGGGTGGGATTCAGTCCCTTTAGCCCTTCACTACGCCCCGCCACTGCTCCTAACTATGCCACCCCCACCCCCACCCCTCATTTCACCAAAATAGGTCAGCGATTGGAACGCCGTTGTAAAGAAGTACGGTGATCTCGCAGACTTCGTGACAGTTTATATAATGGAGGCTCACGCTAGTGACAGCTTGGCCTAGTGATGACCGAGATATTAAGGTGGGT